TTCTTGTATTGTACCACGGCGAGGCGAGGGGAAAGGTCTCCTTTTGCGCCGGCTTCTTCTGAGAGGATAAGCCGAGAACATCCCCCTTTTGAGCGACGGGCGATCGGTGCGGCAGCAGCGACCTCGTGACTTAGAGGTAGCTTCAGCTCCTATCGCGTAATCTGCCCCATTTTGTGGCGCTCACCAAGCCTAGCCCCTCGGGTGTAGGTTTTACGGAGCTGCAAGGCTGCGCCCGCGCAGTCACCGAATTTCCGCTGTCGAAGGTCTTTAGTTTAGCCCGTGGCAAAGTAAACGCATACTTGAGAGCTGCGATGCATCCCCGCACCCATTGAAGGAACGTTTCATAGATATTTTCGGTTGATCAAGGAGCTCAAAACACATGCGCGAGAAGTGGTGACTTGAATATATATGGATGACTGACATCTTCACAAAACGTTCCATCTGAAAAAAACGGCTTATCGCGCTCAAACCTGCCTCAAATTGGGATCGATGGAGAAGAGAACGATGTACCAGGCGCGGGCATCTTCTAGAAGGTCTCTGTTTTCTAGCAGCGAGCGCAAACATTGTGTGCATAACTCACACTATATGATGACCAACGAATGTATGTAACATTTATATTTACGCATCCCAGCAACCACATGAGGTAAGAAGGCTGCTATGGTGTGTGTCGATACTAAAAAGTTCTAGTGGATCGTCTTTAGTTCTTGGATAACCGCACCCTACAACAATTTATAAGCTATAACCTTTCTGTGAGCATTCTTGATCGAGTGCGGCTATCGAAGCGTCTGATGTTATAGTTCAACGTTGCTTAAATCGGCGCTATAGCACGTGCTGCCACTTTAAAGTATTTCTGAGGCATTAAAAATAAAAATAAAAAATCAACTGTAGCCTTTTTTTTAACATAATACGCGTTTGTAATTTTGTCTGTGCAAACACATTTTAGTTAGCACGGACAAACTATTGCCGGTCTTTCTGATTTTGTTTTTTAGAAATAAATGATATTTAGAAAACTGTCAATGCAACTATCAACCTAAGTGGCAGAGCTCAGTGCTAGACAATACATGTTGCTGGGCAGAAATAGTAAAAAGCGCCGATGTCGCGTTCGGGCTAAAAGTGCCACGTAATGCACGCGTACCGCTACAAGTGCGTCCGGACATTTCACCGAACGCCGTTTCATCGAATGCCGTTTCATCGAATGCCGTTTCATCGAAGCCGTTTCATCGAAGCCGTTTCATCGAACGCCGTTTCATCGAACGCCGTTTCATAAAAGCCGTTTCCATCGAACGCCTTTTCATCGAACAATGTTACAGTCTGTAATACTTTGGAATTTACTTTAATTTTTATACACAACTTCATCTCATTCTCTCTTTTTTTTTTCTTTTGTTTCTGCTTTTATATCACTGGGTGCAGTGGCGAGATAAGTTCCATCGTGAACATATCCTGCTTTGAGAAGAAAGCCTTCATGAAACAATGACCCCTCTCCATGTCACATGAAACAATTAAAAATGAGGCAAAACAGAAAGCACAGACGCTTAAAAGTGTTTTAAGTGTCTGTCCTTTATTTGCAGCGTCGTGGTTTCAGCCATGTATGTACATGAGTAAGGCTTTTCAGTAAGTCGCATACCCAATTGTTTTTATTTCTTTTTATGCCAATTGCTTTTATTTTTAGTAATTTGACACCCACATTCAAAACAATTTCTCAAGTGACTACCTTAGTCTTAACAAATGCAAGGTGAAACATCTATAAAGCACTGTTATGCCCCAAAACTCGGTACAGAGCCATAACTGAGAAATTCGATGAAACGGCCCTTGACGATTCGATAAAACGGCGTTCGATGAAACGGCGTTCGATGAAGTGTCCGTTCATTCGGTAAAAACGGCTTTCGATGAAATGGCGAAAAAGTGAGGTTCAGGCTTGGTCGGAGATTGCTACGGTTACACACGTACGCTTTTTCAGTTCTATCTCGCAGAAATAAGCTTCTTGCTCAAATAAACAGGGGCATCTGACTTTTCGCTCATCTTGGCCTTTTGCGCGACTGTTAACAAGTTCTAAAACAGACAAAGCAAAAGTGATTTAATTAGCTCAGGATTATAGGTTGAGCGAAATATTTACAAAGTTCAAGGTTCCCTGAGTCGTCTTTTGTATTCAATTTCCCCTCCCCTCACCACCACTTCCTTCCTCTAAATAAACAACGTAGATTATTTTATGAACCACCAGTAATAGAGCGTACTCACAAAACGTCTATTTGGCGTAAGTAAGGCCTTGTTTAAATGTTCGAGCAATGAACCTGTTTTCTTACTGTGCGTGACACAGCTAGCACAAAACACAATATTGACATTTTTACGCAAGGGCCATGCAGAATATAGTGTATCAGAACAAATTGATGCCCTCTTAAGTTGGTGCCCAACGGAAGCACTCTTTACCGAATTGCTTGTTTAAAAATAACTACTTTTCAAACATAAAAATAAAACAAAATAACACCACTTTTTGGGGGGCCACTAAATTTACTGATTTACTATGTTAGCGTTGATTGTGCAGCGGTATGCGTACATTACGCGACACTGTTAGCGCAAACACGACATCGCGCTTTTTGCTATTTTCCCCAGCAATGTATCGACTCGCACTAAAATCTACCGCTTAGGTTGGATACTCGCATTAAACAGTTTCCTAAACATCGTTCTCTTCTAACAAAAAAAAAAAGTGGAAAACACCGGTGATAGTTTGTGCTAACTGCGTAGCGTAGGGTACCTAAAAGTTTTTTTAGTGTTAAATACAATTCTGTGTCACGTTAAAAAAAAAAAAATTGTCTGCTTTTGCCTTAGTTTCTTTGAGACACCGCAAATACTTCGAAGTGGCGGTCCGTGCTATGGTACCGATACAGGCAACGTTGAACCATAACACGACACGCTAGACTCGTCAAAAAGGGTTTTAATATTGTCTTTTCGCTGCATAGCCGCACTCGATGAAGAATGTAAACAGCGAGTCTAGCTTACATTTCGTTGTGGGGTACGGACCGTATACGGTTATCTAAGTGGCTAAAAGCGACCCACTAAAACTTTCTAAAATTCACATTCACCCTTGATGCCCCCTCACCTCGGTGCTTGTTGGGAATGTGTAAATATGAATTTCATACATTTTGCTGGCCATCATGTTGTGCGAGTTAGGCACACAACAGGGCATTTTAGTAAATCGTTTTCAAAGGCCCGCTGCCACTTCAGGCGCGCGCTTCAGAGAATGCATCGAAGTGGCAGCGCGAGCTCCCGCTAAATATAGCGTGGCCTGAAAACATAGTTTCTAAAGTTCTTCAATAATTTGTGCTCGCTCCTAGAAAACAGAGACCTTCTAGAAGATGCCCGCGCCTGGTACATCGTTTTCTTTTCCATCGATCCCAATTTGAGGCAGGTTTGAGCGTGATAAGCCGTTTTTTTCTTGAAGATGGAATGTTTTGTGAAGATGTGAGTCATCCTTACATATTCAAGTCACCACTTCTCGCGCATGTGTTTTGAGCTCCTTGATCAACCGAAAATATCTATGAAACGTTCCTTCAATGGGTGCGGAACGTTATGAATCGCAGCTCTCAAGTATGCGTTTACTTTGCCACGGGCTAAACTAAAGACCTTCGAAAGCGGCAATTCGGTGACTGCGCGGGCGCTGCCTTGCAGCTCCGTAAAACCGACACCCGAGGAGCTAGGCTTGGTGAGCGCCAAAAAATGGGGCAGATTACGCGATAGGAGCTGAAGCTACCTCTAACTCACGAGGTCGCTGCTGCCGCACCCATCGCCCGTCGCTCAAAATGGGGATTTTTTCGGCTTATCCTCTCAGAAGAAGCCGGCGCAAAAGGGGACCTTTCCCCTCTCCTCGCCGTGCTACAATACAAGAAAGAAAGAGGGCGAGGAGGACTTTCCGCCAGGCGGAAGAATATTTCTGCTGGTCCTCCGTTAACTGACTTGACCGCCATAAGCGTATAGTAAATTAAATAAGCGCCGCCGTGCCGCCCCCCCCCCCCCCCCCCCCTTCACTAGGTTTAGCGGCAACTGCACGTATTCCAAATGAAATTTGACCTCACGGCGTGGCGTGTGTGTGTAGTTCTATCACTGCATAAAGCGTAAGCGCTATGAATTTTCAGCACCAGAAGAGTTTACGTGTCAATGACCTCAAAACGCCTAGCGCGGGTGAGATTCACGGCATTTGTTAAATTGATGCTACGCATCTGTGTCGGTCGCAAGACAAATAGAAAATCGAAATATGGCACTTATGCATACCTGTAGCATCGAGACGACGTTTCAATTTATAAATACAAAAACGACGCAAAAGCACGGCGCGTTACTTTATACGCGTAACGGTAACGAATTCCTTTTATTTCAAGGTAGGTGAGTGACGCGTTCCATTGATTCGAAAGTAACGAGTAACTTATATCGTTATTTTTTTTTTTTCAGTAACGCCTATCACACTGCTTACACTAACTAAAAATAGCGGAGCCCCCTTTTGCCGCCAACTCCTCTTTGGCGAAGGGGCGTCAGATGCGTTGAAGGAGTCCAAAGCGCTTGCAGGGAAGCGGCTTTGCGGAACGCCTGCTTTTCGGCGGGACATACTTTCCGCTCTGTGTTCGAGAAATGTAGTAGACCATACGCTAAAGTATGACAAGCAGGAGGCATCTTGAACCTCTATACGCCGCGTGTGCAACTTCTAAATGCGCATTATTTTTTTCTTTTTTGGTAACCCGAACGCAGTGTTAAGGGGGGTCGTGAGCAAGCAGACGACAACTACAAGACAACGACACAGTGCGCGTGCGCGCTTCTATTGGTGAAGGTTTCGGACGGCGCCCCACAGAACGAAAGCTGACTTGGGGCGGGACGCGTATTCGGAAAAATTTCTGAAGTATGTCATGAAGTCAATTTCCGCACTCTTCGCAGTGTTTGGAAGATCAAAATCGGGGAGCATCGCCGCGACACACTGCCTCCGCGAGCGCAAAGCATGTTGTATGGCTTTCCGCACTCACCGGCCTTGTGCGCGGCGTGGAGCGTGGACGTGGCGGCGGCCACGGCTGCGGCCAGCGGGTGGGACGGCTGCAGGGCTGTGGGTTGCGGCGGAGGCGGGTGCCAGGGCCCTGGAGGCCAGCAGGCGGCGGACCCGGCCAGGGCCCCGGCCCCGCTCAGCACGCGCAGCTTGTCGTACACGCCCTGCACGGCCGCCTGCTGCTGCTCCTTCTGCGCAGCCAGGTTGCGCAGCACCCGGTTGATCGAGGACACCTGCGCAGCAGCACCGAGCACGCTTTCGGGGCCCGCCTCGACTCGACGCCATTCTCGCGGCCTAGACGGGATTCCTATCAAAACTGACTGTCGTCGAGAAGATCGACAGCACTCTACGAGGTTGGGTTTGCGACGCGTAATTCTAAGGACGCTTTCATCGAATACGGTCCTTTTGAACCTTTTAAAGCGTCCAAGTGTTTGGGACGTCCCTGGATACTTTTTTTTTCAATCTTATAAAACGTTTGTAAACGTGACATCCTGCAGTGGCCCGTCTAATATGTCGCGTACACGAAGCTGACCACGCGTCTCGTCTTTGTTCAGACAGTCCTTTATTATAAGAATATTAATAACATCTTTATTTCTCATTTACAATGGTGGAGGCCGAGAAAGAAATCCGAACGAAACGGTTTGACGAGTTCTCGCCCTCCGAATTGCGTTCTACAGTAGTGACATTGCGTCGCATCATCCTTCGCAAGCCACGTTAAAGGCACATAAAAAAAATGTTTCTTGCTTTTTGAGAAGTTGTGTTTGTCCCTCTTTTTTGCCTCGGTCTCGTGTTTTAATGTGTCGATGTTGTTGCAAACACGTGGGTCATAACAACGTACTTAAAAGAGCCTATTAAAAAAATCTAATTAGCTCCATTTAGACTGTGAGTACAAGAAACAACAAATATAATCTGTGCGAGACCTTTTTTTATTTTAATATATTTGGAAGTCGCAAAACTCCCATTTTCAAAGGGCTAACAAAATATTCTTTAAGTTCCCATAAATACAAAAATAACCATTCTAATCAAACTTTTATAGTTTCATTCAGCTTATCTTAAAACATGCATGTCAAATTTGGTTGATATAGGACAACATTACAAACAAAAATGCTTGCGCACGAACTGCAAAAATGCCCCAAAATTAAAAAGAAAGCTTTCGAATATCATTATAGATGTGTAGCAACACTGTTTCGCAATGAGAATTTTTTTTTATTCATTTGTTTCTAGAAATTGAAGCTACAGACGAATACGACGAAAAGGGGACGCCTATGTCTACATCAAGCTCATCTGGTGGGTTAGTTACTTGAAAAATGTGTTGAATTACTATTACAAATTACTAAGCCTCAAATGTAATGGATTACCGTTACAAATTACTTTCGCTGAAACGTAACGGATTACTTTACTCGCTACGTTACAAATTACTTTCACGTTACTTTTCCCCTACGAAGAAAACAATAGCATTTGTCAAACGGATGGTCGTACACTCATTTTGCACCAGTGTCTCTATTATGCTAATATTTTTTTTAAGTAACGAGTAATTCAAGTAATCCGTTACCAATATTTTGTAACGAAATTACATTACAAATTACTGCCGCAGAAAACTAACGTGGCAATTATAAAATTACTTTAAAAAGTGACGAATCAGAAGTCATCCGTTACTTGTAACGGATTACTTTCCATGTCTGGCTAGTTGAACATATTAATAATTCGGTAGCGCAACACGACAAGAAAAAAGTAGAGGAGGGAGACAGAACAGAGGTCTCTGTCCTGTCTATTTCTTCTACTTCTTCTTGTCGTGTTGCACTATCTAATTTATAATAGTCTATGCCTATTTCTCAAAATGAACGCGATGGCGGGCGACGCCACAATTCGAAGAACCGCGCGCACAAAAATGACTCAAAATTACTTTTTTTCTGGCTTGCCGGAGTTCTTCAAATGCCCATTTGACTAATTGCGACATCATATTCGGTATGCATTATTTTCATACGCCAAATATAAAAATTTTATGATAATGAAACTCCCTAAAACTCGAAAACACACTTTGTGCGAACATATTGCCTTTCTTTGATCCGCATCTTCCCGTAAACGTCGATGCGCTACTCTAGCACGCTTTTCTATCGAACGTGCATCTGTTGCGCGTACGGACACTTCTAGCTCTAAATGGCTGAGTGAGTCACGCAGAGACGAAAAAGCCATAACTAAAAGCCATACACGGCTTTTATTTATTTGAGGCTATCATTCCACGACACTTACCTTCCCTAGACTCTCGTTAATTGACTATCTTAACCCATTCACATCCAGCCTACCGCTATTTGCGAGCAGTTTTGTGTTCTTTCTCTCGTCAGTTATTTCACGAGTAACAGCCCGCCAAATCTGCTCCCAGAGCTCGTTCCATAAAGCATCTTTAACTACGCAAAACAAACGTGCCTTTTTAAGCGAGTGCTGCGACGGAATACGAACCAACCTCCAAGCGAGGTTTCAGCCTTCACACGAAGTACCCGCTCGGCAGCTCTGCTATGGCCAGACGTATAAATACGAGCGTGGCAGTCGGTAAAATCGATGACAGACACGGCAGCGTCGCCAAGGCGGTGCAAATTATCCCCATCAATCACCGCGCGCCTGCAAAAAAACATTAGTGCCCGAACCGCATCTGCATACGATTCCCACCGGCCGCTAATACGATAACAGCCACATTGTTGCGAGAGCGACATGCACTGCATACGAGGGAACGGGCTCGATTACAATATGGCCGCGGAGGAGAGAGATGAAACTTCACGGAGCGTGCCTCGGCGGCGGTGTCGCTATACGTGCAATAACGAGCCCTTAAGTGGTTCCCAGAAAGCCAGTCGGTCGCTCTCGTCTTGTTTCTGAGCGAGGCCCCTCGAAGACCCCCTAATGAAGTCATCTCGCGCGCCTCTCTCTCGTCTCGACCCAGCGGACAAGCGGCGCGAAGGAGCAAGAGGCAGAACTGGTTTTCCCCCTGTTGCTGCCACTGCTGATGTCTCTCTTGACCGCAGAACGTGGGCCGTACGACTTGAACCCCTCAAGCCGGTGCAGTTCTCGGAAAGGCGAAGACGGAGCGAAAGCGAGGGCTGCTTAAAATGCGACGTGCTCCTTCAAGTCAGGGCTGCCGCGCGCGCGAGCGCTCGCCCGGTACGCCGAGAACGGGCAGACGTGCACGACGAGGGTGCAGTCGCCGCCGAGGCGCCCGACGGCTTAGGAGGTGCGCCACGCGGCCACTCTGTCGCCAGTTGTCAGCGGAGTAGACGGGCTTGTCCTCGGTCTGCGGGCGCTGGCCGCGGGCATGCGTCGCTGAGCGGACTCGCGCCGAGACCGAGCCCCAACTGTGCCGTATCCGCGTTCCGGCGCTTCCCGGCCTCAAGGCTGATGCGAAGCGCGGTTCGAGCAACGGTGTTTTGTCGGCGCAAACAACACCCGCGTGCGCGCTAACGGCTTTCGGCCCGTGACAACAATCGCTCGTAGAATCACACGCGAAAAGGGCCAGTTCCAATAAGGCCGTGAGCAAATCTCCGAGTATCAACGGCACTTCGAGGTTACATCAGTAATTAAACCCCCGAAACAAGGAAACATAAACGAACGACAGAAATCCTGCGTGCACCGTTGTCCGTGCTTTTATTTTTTTCTTCGTCTCGTCCGTTTCTTGACGTACCCTAATCAACTGTATAAACGCTTTCTCGACTTAAACGTTCATTTGTCGTAAAACGTCGCGTATGTGGTGATGTGATGCAATCCACGACAAACCCAAATGTTGGATAAAAAGTACGAATTAGGCCTCGGCGAATTTCGATCGATAATTATATTTAGTACAATTATAGTGATGGCATTACGCGACATTTGCGTAGTCCCTGATGTGTAATGTCTTGGCAATAGGTATGTGGCGCGTTCGAGAGTGAAAAATTCTCGGCGTGAGCGTGCCTCAAGTGCGCTTCACCGCGTCGCACAAATTTTCAGAGGTGAAACCGAACCCACCAGTGCCGCCCACAACCGCGCGTCCTCAACGCCGTTGCTTCTGGATCAGCCGAACGAACTTTGGCGCGAACGCTTTCCCCCAAATCATGCCTCAAAGTGCCGTACACTCGGCAGTGCAAGTGTTCAACTTGCGTCGGCAAACTTCCGCAGCATTGAAACAGTTGCTGGCCCGTATTGAGCCCGATCAAAGTATTCGACGTCATTCGAGGTACATTCGTTTTACATTCAGCCCAATACTTAGCACCATTCTTCGAATCCTATTTTTTTATATCTGATGCTCGTAATCAACCCAGTGTCCAGGCTTTGCTACTTCCATTTCTTCTGCGCTCTTCCGTCAGTGTTTTTAGCCAGCTTACTTCACAGTACTAAACCAGGCGCCAGGCTCTGGGCTGGCTGGATATATAACAGCGTCTCAGCTGAGACTGGGCGAAAGGAAGCACTGCAAAGGCTGGGGCGCGCGAGCGTCTTGAAAAGTCCCGCTCAGCTCGTGCGCTGGCTTTGGCAAGTGCTTTCGTTTCCGAGCCGTTGCCAGCGGTGGTGAGTCGGAGAGGGGAAAGCAAAGTGACTGTCCCACCCCCTGTCCACGTGCTCGGTGCTTTCGCTTCATCCGGGGAGTCGGGCCAGTCGCCCCGCCGCGACTCCCGACTCCACGCGAGCCTTGCCGCCCGAATCCTCAGCCTCCTCTCCAGCCCGCTCGCGAACGTGATTGGTAGCATCCAGCGGTTTCGTCATGGAACGCGTCACGGGCGGGGACGTGTCGTGGCGAGGACTAGAGTCGTCCCGGCTCTGCAGCGATCTTTCTCCGGCTCTCCTCGGCCTCGGCGCCAGTTTGCATACCCCTTTATCCGACGTCTCTCGTTTCCAGCCCGCGTTCCGCCGCGTGCGGGGTTCACGCAACAGCAGGGACCTGCGCGGGTACGCCTCGCGGCGCGCCACTTGCGAAGACAAGGCCCGCTCATTTCCCCGTCAAACGTCATCACTAGTGGATCCACGCAGCGCCGCCTAGTTCGCGTCGCCGCCAGCGTGTCTTGCAGCATCTCACAAAGGACGCTAGCCCAGAACCTTAGAAGGCTCTGCGCTAGCCCACGGCGACGCCAAGCGAAGACAGACGCGCCTGCCAATAGCCTCATATATACTGACAAAGCCTGGCAGGTCGCCACGAGAAGCGGCCGCAGAAATGTAAAACGTGGAGCGGCAGACGACGGACGAGAGGAGAGCCACGTGACAGGCGCCCCGCTGCGGCGATACGCTGAAACACACTTCTCCCGAGCGAACAAGCGTGTTTCGGGTCCTCGCCGCTGCAAAAGCTGTGTGCTGACGTCCAGGTTCCACGAGAAATGGCTGTTTGATGCTCTCTGCTAACGGATCCTAGCGCTTCAGATCTGCGACCGGCCACTCCGTCGTGAGTGTAGAGGAGGCTCTGGCCTGCCGCTTCGCGCCCGAGAGCATCACCGCGTTTGCCGCTTGGGTCAGGATCCACAAATGATGACGTCACGCGCAGGCCTTGTCTTCTAGGTGGTACTGACTCGGCTCAGCAGCTCCCCGCAGTGTCCCCCCTCAGGGGACACGCACTCCCGCACAAAAAAAAAAAAAGAATGGCGCGCAATAAAATGGCCGCCCGATCTGCTCGACTCAAAGTAAAGCCGCGTAAGAGAAGCGCCGGCGGCGGCAGAGCGCGCGCGCGGTGCTCGGCGCTAATCCGCTCCTGTCTTTAGCAGCGCGGAAAATTGGTTGCGATGTGGCGCCGCTTCGCCCGTGCCGCAGAGACCGAGGGGGAACCGGCGGATGCGGGGAGGGACCGGGAGCCTCCGCGCTCGACGCTGGGGGCGCCCAGCCACGCTCTTCGCCCACCCCATCGCGCCTACCGGCTAATGCCACATGACCGCGTCCACCACGCGTACGTGACGCGGGGAGAGTGGGGACACGTGATCGGACGCTGGCGGCTGATTGGTGTGTCCTGGGGCGTAGCTTCCACACCGCTTTCATCCCGGGGATGTGGCACGCTGCGACGAACCGATCGTCCCCCCGTTCGGCCTGTAGACTACGTGTCTGTTGGTCCAGCCAGATCGAGTGTAGAGGGGAGGGGGCGAACTTGGATTCTGCGGGCGCACCGATGGCGGTAGCACGGTGCCGCCCGGGTACGACCCGCGCTCGTTGTTTTATCTTCCTCGACGCGTGTGTAGCGTGGCCTGAGCTCATTTACGTTGGTTTCCTCCTCTGGGAGAGAAACGTGTGGATGAGGCGGGGGCAGCCCACTCCGGAGGCGTTTCGAGTTAGCGATGGATGTCTCGCTATCTCAGCCTCCGCAGTCGTCCCCCGTGTCCTCGCGGCGCGGCACCGATAACGAGGGCCTCGCTCGCGGCTTCCCCACGCCGACCAGGTTTCGGAGAGGAACGCATTTCCTGGGCACCCGACGGAGCGCACTCGTCGGAGCGGGACACCGCGACTCTGCCTGCCTGAGGACGCGCTCGTTTTCGATTATTACGGAGGATGCGCGGCGGTGTTTTACCTAACTCGTTTGTCGTGGTTTCACGTGTGACGTCAGAAAACGACGCGGCTAATCATCGTCCGCCGTCGTAACCACGACGCCTTATATGGTCTCTCGTTTGCACGCTTACTTGGGTTGATTGGATAGCCTTTCTGGGTAGCACACCCGCGAGAAGGTTATTTTTTTAAAGACCGGTTCTCTTTTCATACAACCTCGCAGTCAACTTCCAAAGTAGTTTTCTTTTTTCATTAATTGTTTTCGTTGTAATTAGGTTGCGTAACTTTCCTTCCACGTTTTTTTTTTTTTTTCTTTGCTTGAATGACATTGTTTTCGTCTCCTCTCCTTCGGCTCAAGGCGAGAAGAGTCCTCGTCTGGGAGACGGACCTTTCTCTCCCTCATCTCCTTTCCTTCGCACGATGCGATGCAATGTACTACATTGAAAGGGAGGCTACGTTCTAAACCGGTACGTCGGGTGACATGATTGGAATAATTTCTCAACCTATGTATAAACTACTTCGCGGCGTACGCCGCAGCACGGATGCCGATTTCGTACCGAGGAACAGACCCTTTGCAAAATCCCGTCGAGCAACATTGCCGGTCGCAATTCCTGGGGATATCCCACACTTCCTGTTCGTAGTTAGGGGAAGAAAATTGGTCTTAGAAAAGCGGGAGCTAGGTATCATATGGTTTTGTATTTTTAGACTTAGGCTAGGTGGCGCAAGCTACCACCCGTTACAAAGGGTATAGCAATTAACATCCGTCCATCCATCCCGTCGCACTCACGCTGGGCACGTTGTCTCCGCTGCACATTCCCTCGGAGAGTAGCCGGTCCCGGATCTCCCAGGCGAAGATGGAGGGGCACTCGCGCTTGAAGCCCGCGATCTTGCTCACCACGTCGGGCGTAGCCACACGGGGCTTGCTGCCGCCGATGGCCCGAGGTCGGATGGACCCGGTCTCGTAGTACCTGCGCAGAGGGAACGCTCGCTCGCACTCCACAGGCGCTTCCCAAGCTGCCCCGCTGAACGCCGCCCGCTTGAAGGCCGACGACCAGTTCCCGCTTTGTACTTTTCCCTCGCTTCCTCCCCTCCCTCCTTCTACACTGTCCACCGTTGCCTGTTCCCTCTTCCCTCATGGTGAGGAGGATGTTCTGCCTTGCAGAATCTCGAGTCTGGTCGTCGGTCTTTAAGGTTCCGGCTACAAGTTCGTCTTTTCCAGGATGACGCGTCTGTCAATCGGAAAATTGGGTGGACGACAGATGCCTCGTAGTTTGTCGGAAAATGGGTTGGATGCCATAATGGTAACTTTACTTCCATCGAATACGATGGGGGATCCAAGGAATAATGATGTAATGTACAGTTATCACCGCGAGTCTAATTTTAATGCGTTAGCATTAGAACCCACATGACAGGGAAAAGCTGACGGCGTCCGTCCATGAAAAGAACAGTAGAAACGGAAGCGCGCCGCGTAGAGAGAGGCAGACTTGGGAAGTAATCCGTTAGAAGTAAAGGATTACTTGTAGTCCGTTACTTTTAAAAGTAATTTTGTAATTGCCACGTTACTTTTCTGCGGCAGTAATTTGGAATGTAATTTCGTTACCATTATTGGTAACGGATTACTTCAATTGCTCGTTACTTTTTTTTTTTAAATATGAACGCAATGCAGAAAGTGGAGCCGGCAACTCAGCCGCATAAAGCTAACAAGTTAAAAAAAAGAAAAAAACGTAGTGAAGAGAACAACGGAAAATAGAACATGATTTTTCGTATGGCCGGTCACTAGAACCACCTGAAAAAAAAAAAGTAGAATATATATACAAATACAAGAAAAACAAAAATCAAGAAGACAACTCCGAGTATAATAGAGCTTTGCCTCTTTCCATCGCTTTCCATCGGGTTTTTCTTCTTCTCCTGAGTACGAAAAACGGAAAGCAGTACTGCTGAACCTTTTTGAAAACATCAAGATTGTTTCTATTGTTTTCTTGGTAAGTTTACGGGAAAACTAACGAAAAAGTAATTTGTAACGTAACGACTAAGGTACTCCGTCACTTTTCAACGTAAGTAATTTGTACCGCTAATCCTTTCCATTAGATGCTCGGTAATTCGTAATTGCAACCCATTACATTCTTCAAGTAACGGGCACATGTCTCGAGGAGAGTAGTGGAGGACAAAAGCGAGAGGGAGGCCACGTCACAGGGCGGAAGCCAATCCGCGCTCGGCGAGGCAAGAGGGAGGTGACGTCACGGGGCGGAAGCCAATGGGCGCGCGGATGCTGGAGCGAGTCTGAATTTGCAGGTGTGCGCCAGCGCGTATGCCCTGGTTTGTGCTACAGAATGGAGTGTGAAGCACGTACTAGCGCTAATCCAGGAAGGCGGCAAAAAAAATTCAAGGAAGATCTATTGGTGGATTCCTAGGGATCCGTCAGCACACTACCGTTCTTGCCGCGGGCTGTGCGCGGGGAGACTTCTGCGTACCTGCCGAGTATCTTGGAGACGCATCCGTTGGAGACCTGCAGGATCCTGGAGATGTCGCAGGGCCTGGCGCCGCTGTGGGCCAGCTCGACGATCTTCTGCCGCGTCGAGTCCGGCAGCGGCCGGCCGTTCACGTACACGCCGCCCAGCTGGTTCACGCCGCTGTGGCCTGCGAGTATAGACACGGACAGGCTACTGAAATAGAGTAACTAAATGCCGTCACTCAAAAAAGTAACCAAGTACACAATGCCTTACTGAGTTTCAAAGGGAACGCGTCACCCCCAGCTTGGAAGTAGAACGTTATCTTCTCGGTGACTATGGGTGTGTCGTTTTTATCAAGCAGTTCCAACATACGTCGTCGTTAATGATTCATCGCTTTTTAACGCGTTCCTTCGAGGTTAAGTGGATGACTGACATACCTCGCGCACATTTTTTTTATGGTCTGTCTAGCGTTTTTTTGGCGTTCAAATTACAGGCATCATCTGGGGTGAATAACATGGATTGAGCACTTCTGTTGTAGACGTTCCCCTCCACAAGTGACTGAATCAATTTCTCGTTACTTCATGAAAAAGTAACGAAAATAGGTTGCTCGTTTTTTTTTTTCTTAAAAAGTGACTCTGTCGTTACTTTGTTACTTATAAAAAGCAAGAAGGTACAAGCAACGCGTTACTTCTAACCAGTGTTGGCAGTAACCCGTTACAAGTAACGGCATTACCGGTAACTTGTTTTTTTTTTTGGTAACGTAGGTAAGTACTCGTTACATTTTCAAAACAGCAACAAGTAACGTAATTACGTTATTTACGTCGAGTAACTGCATGGTAACGTAGTTACGCTACTCAAGACATCTTCTACCGAGGACTTAAAAAAAAGAAAAGTTCACATTATTTGCGTGTTTCTGCGAGTTACGAATGCTTGCACTCATCCAACATGCATGTACATTCAAAATTTAGCTTCTCTTTTTCCCCACGCGAACAAACACTCCCGCCTTCTTTAAATATGACATTCATGCATACCTGTAACGCCAAAACAGTATAACTTTTACTTCTCTTATAAAAAAGTAACCCAAAGGTAATGTGCATTACTTTTTTTATCGGTAACACTAACGCGTTCCTTTTATTTTGAGGTAACGCACGCCTGTAACGCGTTCCTTGTATTTGAAAGTAACGTATTTCGTTACTCTTTTATGTTTGATTTTTTTTCGGTATCGCCTTCAACACTGTTTGTAACGCGTTATATACGGGCCTGCTAAAAGGAGCCCGGCTACCACGTCGCGGGTCGCCGAGCTGATTCTTGCTTGTAACGAATTACGTACGAGCCAGCTAAAAGGAGCGCGGCAACCATGTCGCGGGTCGCGGAGCCGATTCTGTTCCGTCGGCGGTCCAGCAGCGGCGCCTGCGGCGCCAATGGGGCGAGACCCTTAGCGCGGGCTCTACGGCGGACGCAACCGAGGAAATCCGGCGTTTGGCGATGTCACCGAGAGGGCGGGCATGAGCGTAAGCCGACCCGAAAACCGCCTTCTGCGGCTCGCCTCGACTCCTTCGGCCGACCGCGTGATCCATCCGACCGCTCGAGTCCCTCGAGTGGAAACGACTGCCCTCGAAACATCCACCGTTCCCGAGTGGCTCGCGGAGGATAATAATAGCCGCGTCGACAACGACAATAATAATAATAGCGACTACAACATTAATACCTGTACGAGTATGCGCGGGAAAGAGAGGGAGCAAAAAAGCCGGGGTCTCGTCGAGGACCTTAATCTGGTAAGCCCTCTCGAAGAGCCGAGTCGCGGGAGCCTGTTTGTCGTCGTTTCCTCGATCGTAATTGGAGGTGGGGGGAGGTCTCCCCCCCCGGGGGAGAGAAGCGCTTTGACCGCTTTTGTGCGCGCGCCGCGCGACCGTTCCGCGCACCGAAAACGCGCCGCCGAGATGCGGCACTCCGGACGGACGCCACTCCACGTAGCGTCAACGCCAGCCGCCTACTGTACATGCCGGCAATATACGGGTAGTAACCGAGAGAGAGGAGGGGACAGCGCGCGCACAAAGAGCCAGGGAGCCGAACGTTTACTGGAATCACTATGTGGGTAGCTGCCTTTGTCTCGACTCACTCTTCAACGCGTTCGAACGCCGAACGACGGCGTCCAGCTTTCAACGTTCGAATTTGAACAGTGAGAGAGGCGACGAAAGCAGCTAGTTTTACCTTCCTCTCAGAGCGTTAGGAACATACGCCGATCGATCTGCGTTCGATCTGTACGGGTACAGATTTGAAAGTAAACGTCTTGGACAGAAATCTGTCTCGTTCGGTAAAGCTATGGTAATAAAAGGGAAATACTCCAACCAAAGCGTTGAGAAAGTTTCCGAGCGTTTCGAAGCTTGCTTGGTTTCTTCGTTCCGAGAACAACCGTATTCTGTATGCGGCAGCGGTCCTTCGTTAATTAATTGTCCTTGCAACGTGGCGTATAGGCCCTGTGGTGCGTACACAAATGTCGAGGCATCCCGGGACCTGCATAAGTTCCTGGAGTGTGCGAATCGTTTCTTCATCAGTACCGCGCAACTTTTATGGAGGTTGAATCTAGCGTATACCTATAATATTAGGTGTCGAAGAACGCGGTCACCGAAGTTCGGCGAGAATGGTTCAACGGCAAAAAAATTATCGAGACGTCTGGAATGTTACTCCTGATGGTAAAGAGCGCTCTTCTCGAACTAACCTTTCTGGTAAGGGAGCTTAGGCGCCGCACTCTATTTGGGAATTCCTTTTGTAGTTGGTGAGTTCGCCTTCTTCGTTTCACGAGACCTGCTGCGGCATCATCGAGGTATAGGAGTGCAAAAATCGAAGTTAAAATGTTCTTGTTGTTTCCACGAACACTCAAGGAGCGGAAGCACTTTGTTCAGGAACGTACACTCGCACTCTTTCTTCCCATAATGCCGCTCTTGCGATGAATGGCGTGGAAGGCAAGCGAGTTTTAGGAAAACCGAGCCGAAACAAACATTTTGCCCGAGACGATCTGAACGCGAGTATTTCTAGCGCTAGCGCACGGGCGGAAGGACATTGCACTCTTTGCACGCCGTGCTCTGCTGAGCGAGAGCCTTGTCGACGCTTTCCAGCTTTCAGCGAATCTCACGTGTAAGCATCCAACTCGATTCACTCGTATAAAGCCTGCCGATCTTTCAAGCACGTATCTGAGTGACGGAAGTCATTCACCTTTAAAAAAAAGGGCTGTCTATTCGTGAGAGTCACTTGAAACGAAACAAAGGGAGACCATGAAAGCACCTTACTGGCAAACTCCGCTAACCTCGTCAGTGGGGCGTAAATTTTCCTTTTCGGCTTGATTCGCTCCCCGCTCCGCATAATTCTTGCGCAATCCTCTCGCTTTAGGGCAGCTAACCGCAGGATGCAGTGCTACCAGTAAGGTCGGTTGGTCATCTCGGCCATTGCGCCTGTTCCGTGTTGGAGAGCGAACGTCTCCACGACGCACTCGAGCGAACCCCTCGGTTCGCACCAGAATCGCCGAGCGCTCCGGATAGAATTGAGCGATCAGTTCCGCGACGTCACCCCCCACTTGCAGCGTGCACAGTAAGCGACTGTTGGCGGTATACGCGGAGCACAGCAATCTCCCCGCGTGCCGCGGTCCGTCCCGCGCTTCACAAAGCGGTCGCGGAGCCGACCTCCGCCGTGGCGTGTAGCTCGCCGCCCGCGGAAGCCCCAAAAAGGGCGGCCATTGTGGCACTCACAAAGGCGGGAGCGGGGGACAGCTTTAACCTAAACGGGGGGGCCGGCGCGTTGCCCGTCGCCGCCGATGCGCCGTGGTCGCCCGTGGGGATCGCTCCGACCTGGCCGCCGGGGGACACCGGGATTGTCGGGGCACAATGGGCCGCCAGCCAGGGAGTCTGTGGTCGGAACCACCACGCGGAGAGGCCGTCCAGCTGGCGCGCGCACTGCCGGTCCTCGCGGACATTCGACTCGGTGTTGACACAGAGACGGCTCAGTATCGAGTCGAGCACGTGCTTGATTTCCGTCGCTGTGTCGCGCGTGCTTAAGCGCCTAGAAGACAAGGCCTGAGAATGACGTCATCGTTAGTGCCCCAAGCGGCAAACAGGCTCGACGAGGGTCACCGCAAAGCGGTAGACGCGTCCGTCTTGGCGTCGCTGCGTGTTAGCGCGTCGCACTTGAGACGCTGCGAGACGCTTTGGCAGCGTCGTTGACGCAAGGTATATGCGGGGGCTACATGGGTCCACTAGTGCTGACGTCTCGAGAGCAAAGGCCTTTCAGATGCATGGTATTGGCTTACGGCGTTTCGCTGTCTTTCGATCAATAAGCAAAAAGGAGGACTCTCTCCCTCAATTGACCTTTTTCTGGTAAAAAGCGCCGCCTGGGGATTCGTCTTTGAACTACAAATGAGGGGCAGCCCAACTTGCCTCCGCCCGACAGAATACTTTGGCGTCGTGCTGCTGTGTTGGTCTTCGTTGCCTTTTACGACCCCTACCAACGCATACTCAAACAAGAATGGTCAAATAAGACGAAACACGCGCAATGATAGGTGCTGATATGTTCATCGACCGGTACTTTGCCCTCCGAAAATGGCGGCAGCGGGAACCAAGGCCAAGGGAGGGGGCGTACGCATGCGCACAAGCTCACTGGAAAAAGGTCCATTTCTCTTTTCCATTCGAGAAAGAGGAGTACCCTCCTCCTTTCTGCGGGGCGTATACCTCAGAGATTCCCTCCTGTGAGGAGAGGAGGGGAGAAGAGTGCGAGAGCGAATAGAGAGAAGGAAACTGGCAACCAGTTTTTCTTCCCGGCAGAAGAGAATTTTGTAGGTTGGCCTTTAAACCGGTCTTCAAACAAGAGGAGCCCTACTGTTTGAAGACCGGTGGCTTCGCTACATTTCCATAGGAGTTAAGCCTTCTTCTTTGTTTACTTTTTCCTCAGCTAAGTCCACTCTTTGCAAATTTTACCAAAAAAATGCACCAACTGTGGGCAACGCTGCACAAAATCGTAGCGCGATAGGTTAAGAAACCGAATTTCGCGGTCGGTTTAAAGAGCCTGGCCGCTGTTTGGGACACCCGGTATTTTGTTGACCGAATATTTGATGTCATCAAAGAATAAACTTTTGGCTGCTGTATATCAGCGATTTTGTTTTAAAAAAACTTGACGTTGGGGAGCTGAGGAAAGCGGAAA